AAGAACTCCCTTAGACCGTTTATCAAGAGTCACTGATTTGGGGAGCACCTAGCTGGGTCAGCTGGTAGAGCACAAAACTCTTGATCTCCGGGTTGTGAGCTCCAGCCCCACGGCTGGGCCTAGAGTTTACTTAAAGAAAAAGCCATTGATTTTCCACACTTGTCCCCCCCCCCCCCCCCCCCCCCCCCCCCCCCGCCTTTTAAAGATTTTACTTATTTGTCTGAGAGAGAGCACAAGCAGAGAGAGGACAGGCAGAGGCAGAGGCAGAGAAAGAAGCAGACTCCCCGGTGAGCAAGGAGCAGGATGCAGGACCCAATCCCAGGACCCTGGGACCATGACCTGAGCAAAAGGCAGCTGCTTAATGAACTGAGTCACCCAGGTATCCCTCACCCTTGTCCAATTTGCTTTCTCTCCTCTGTATCTTTTACACACACACATTTACATCTTTTTGTTACTGTTATTAAACCACTTGGAAGTAAATTATATCACAGTCCTTTACTTTTTTTTTTTTTTTTTTTTAAAGAGAGAGAGAGCCTGGATGTGGAGGGGTGAAATTTTTTTTTTTTAAAGATTTTATTTATTTATTTGACAGACAGAGATCACAAGCAGGCAGAGAGGCAGGCAGAGAGAGAGGAAGAAGCAGGCTCCCTGCTGAGCAGAGAGCCCGATGCGGGGCTCGATCCCAGGACCTGAGATCATGACCTGAGCCGAAGGCAGCAGCTTAACCCACTGAGCCACCCAGGCACCCCTAGAGGGGTGAATTTTGAGCAGGCTCTATACCCAGTGAGGGGCCTGACACTGGGCTTGATCTCAGGACCCTGAAATCATGATCTGAGCCAAAATCAAGAGTCTGGCGCTTAAATGACTGAGCCACCCAGATTGCCCCCGCCCTTTTTAAGTAGGCTCCACACCCAAGTTGTGGTTTGAACTCAGGACCTTGAGATCAAGAGTCGCGTGCTCTACTGACTGAGTCAGCCAGGCACTCTCCTGTCATAGTCCTTAACCTTAAATGCAGTGTTATTTCCTGAGAATAAGGATATCCTTAGATACTTACCGAAATCAGAAACTTTAACCCTGAGGCAATCTTTCAACCTTGGTCAACAGTCCATATTGCAATTTCGTGAATTATCCCAAAAATGTCCTTTACAGAACTTTTTGTTTTGGTCCAGGATCCCATATTTCATTTAGTTGTTGGGTCTCTTGAGTCTCCTTTAATCTGGAACGTTCCTCAGCCCCTCTGCGACACTGACATTTATGAAGAATCTAGGCCAGCAGCTTTTCAAGTTCGTCAAGGCAGACACTTCCTTTCCTCTTATATTTTTTTGCTCTAAGTGCCAATGATCTGCCCAGTTCCTCAGGCTTTGCCTTTTGGGTGGTATGCTTCCTTCTGTCCCTCTTGAGCACTATTGGCTCTACACCTGTCTCAATCCCAGCTTCTCCTCCCTGGAAGTGTTACTCCCATGTGCTCCTGGTCTTGAAGGGACTATTTCTCCCACTAGTTGGTGAGCTCCTTGAGAAGAGCCTGCCTGTTACACATCGCCTCATCCTGGGGGTCTACCTAGCACAACTGAAATGTCTGTTGAAGGAGCACGTGAAAGAAACAGATCTTCCACAGCTGCCCTTCTTCCCAGTAGATCTGAAGTGGGTACTGGGGCATCCAAACACCTGAGTTACGGAATGTTGGGACAGGAGTAGCCACAGCACGACATCAACTTCAAATGCCCTTTGTTACTTGTGAGCAAAGGCACCAGGGAGTGAAAAGTGACTTACTGAAGATTCCTTGGCTGGAGAGGTGTGGCCCTTGAGTCATCGCTGGCTCATGCTTTGCTCTTCCTAGAGTCAAGTGGCCTTATGTGGTCTGGTGTGAGAAACAGGGTCATAAAAATCAAAGTGAGGGTCACCTAGGTGGCTCATTCAGTTGCGTGCATCCAGCTCTTGGTTTGGGCTCTGGTAGTGATCTCAGAATCACGGGATCAAGCCTTGCATCGGGCTCGGCGCTCAGCAAGGAGTCAGCTTGGGATTCTCTCTCCCTGCCTCTCTACCCCTCCCCATGTGCATGCACTCTCTCTCAAATAAATAAAATCTTAAGAAGTGAGATGCAGAAAGTGCACAAAATGGAGACATTTATGCAGTTTTACAACATGAAAAGCAGTTCTGTATCTGGTTGCTTAGGAAGCAATCACACTGCCAATGGCAGCAGTTACCTTGGGGGGAATGGGTGGGACTGGACAGTTGACCATTAAGCTCGAATTCACAAACCCCAAGCTCCAGTCATATGCTCTACCGACTGAGCCAGCCAGGTACCCCTGAACTTAAACATTTTTTTACTGAAACCAAGGGATTATGTCTTGCATACAACAGTTGCCCCTAATCTTTTTTAGTGAGCTGTCTTAAGATTCTCAGGGAACTAGCTCTCAACCAAATTTCCAAGCAAGGCTCCAAGGGCAGGGTACATTCTAGAAACAGAACTCTGCCTGTTATTGGAGCATAAGATGAACATAGGGTAAGGCTGGCTTTGTGTCTTAGCACATGGGCTAGAGTTCAAGTTTAATTTTATAGGCAACAAGGAGCCATTAAACTCTCCAGTAAGAATGGGCTGACCTAATTAGACATTTAGCGAGTTGATTATGGCAACAATAGGCTAAGCCAAAAAGCCAGTGGGCTTTTGCAATAATCCAGAGAAGTGTTACTTGCTCGGAGTAAATTTAAAGAGCAAAGTCAGGGAGGAGTGAGGAAGAGAAGACTGGCTCTGAGTAGATGTTGTGGAAGCTTTCTAATGGGCAGAAAAGTGGTTCATTATTCTTTTTGGAGTTCTCCATGATTAAAAAAAGCCCATTTCTTGTCAAGATCATATACACTCACATGACACGTGAATCAAATCCTTATAAGAATGGATACTTGGGATAAATAAAGTTTTCATACGTGAACTAGAAAGATAACAGTCCTCTCAAATAATTTGGGGTAAGAAGATGGGTTCAAGGAAAGTAGTAAAGTCTGGAAACAAATATTAAAGTTTTTTTTTTTTTTTAAGGTTTTATTTTTTTGACAGAGAGACAGCGAGAGACCGAACACAAGCAGGAGTGGGAAAGGGAGAAGCAGGCTTCCTTTCAAGCAGGGAGCCCAATGTGGGGCTTGATCCCAGGACCCCAGGATCATGACCTGAGCTGAAGGCAGACACCTAACCAACTGAGCCACCCAGGAGCCCGGTTCGGGTAAGCTTTTGATATCCCTATTTCATCTTGCGAATCAATCTGAATGCCAAGTTTTTGGAGTCAGGGTAGTAACTGGCAGTTATTCCGGCCATCCCTGGGACCATGCTACATAGGAGCCCTTTGGCCTCTTGAGGAAATAGCCGCGCCTACCCCCGAACCAATGGTTTTAGTCAAGTAGGGTCCCAGAACCTTAAAGGGAAACACAATTCTCTTAAATCCATCAAGAACTAGGCAGAGAGTATGGGTTCAGGATTGTTTTTATTTTCAGAGCGTGCAACAGTTGGTCACCCATGCGAGCTAAGCTGGTACAGTCCGAAGGCCATCCCACCTCCCTTTCCAGGCATCCAACCAACAGAATCCCTACCAACAAGATTAGAGACCAATTGAGAAGTGTCTCAATGTGTGGTGAGAGAGAGAAGAGGCCTTTCTCTTTCTTCCTGTTCCCCTCCTCCCCCACTGACTTTTTTCTAACAAGATTGTTTTATAGCCAAATACAACTCAAACCCGTAACAACAGCAACAAACCATCTCCTGTACCACTGCTTCCCTCCCTACCTCCTGAGGAGGAAGGGAAGTAAAAGGGGAGACTGGCTCTTGTGTTTAAGAAAAAGTTGGCTACACCCCAGTGGAACAAAGATGGCGACGAGGCTGGTGCCTATGGGGGGGGATGAGCAGGAACCAAACAGGCCTGTCCAGAATCAACCAAGTCAGCCCCAGCTGACTTGAGACTGCTCCTTTGAGACCCCCATTTCCACACGGCTAGATGAGGGGGCAACCAGTGACGATCCATCACTCCCTGTCCCTCAAATTCAAACATGATAAACTCAGAAAGTTTTACCTTCAAAATCCACCACGCTGCCTCCTGAGAACCACATTCGGTATCGTCATCTGTATGCACCCATGCCCCTCTCCTAACGCCCAGGACTTCCAGTCCCTCTCTTCACCCTTGGGTGGCCCAGCCAACACTGATTTGATACTCCCTGACTCATACAATGACTATTTTTAGAAAATCAAAAGCTATTCAAGAGTATCAGAGTAACAGAAGACACTCAGCATACACTCTTCTCCCCTATCCCGCAGAGCCCCCCCGCACTGCCCCCCCCCCCCCACTCTAGGACACCTACACTACCACATTCCAACAATGACCTGGGGGTGGCCCAATGGAAGCTGCCTGAAGTGCTTTCCTGACTGGGACTCCTGTACCAGCCAGCGTCACAGGGAACCGGGGTGGGCAAGAGCAGGGTCACCCCCCCCACACACACACATTGATCTCAGTGGCCTTCGAGGTAGTTCTGGGAGGTTTAGCTTATGTCCTGTAGTCAAGTCTGAGTCCAGTGCCCACTCCTACTGGTACCTCAGTCCTTGGCTTTAAATAGCAGCAGCCCCAGTACCACAGTGCCTCCTGGGGGTGACAGAGCTCCTAGGTCTGTCCCTCGACACAAGTTTGCTTCTTCTCTCCCATCTTTTTTTTTTTCTTTTTTAAAGCAGAGGTAGTCCCTGGGATGATAAAACCCTACCCAGAATGGCAGTATTATGACTTAAAGAAGCAGTTAAATAAAAGTCTCCAGGAATTAAAAAAAAAATATTAAAGTGATTGATGAAGTTGAATAAATTAAAGATACGGGTTATCCCACTGAGACGGTTCCCTTCCCAGGCTGTCTTTGGTATCTGGCCAGCAGCATTTCTGCTTCCGTGACTTCTCTCTCACTCTCCGACGCCTCCCCTCCGGAGAGGACAGTGGACCGTAAGGCCCCAGGTGGTCTGTCCAATGGCCGGGGGTGGTCGGGGCGTGAGAAGTCAGAACTTCCTGACTCGGTGCTCGGAACGATGCTGTGGCCAGTGACAGCCTTGGCAGCCAGTCCCGAGGCAGGAGGAAAACGTCTTACAGGGACAGAAGAGGCTCCCAGCCCGGGAGCGCAGAGGCAGGGGTAAGGCGAACCAGCCCCGGTCCTCTCTCTGCACGTTGCGCACACGGCTGGCCCCTTCGCTCACGTTTCTCTGCAGCGAAGAGGGAAGGGGGAAGGCACGGAGGGAAGCTCAGGCTGCTGTAGTCTGGCGTGGCCACCCTCACAGCTTCTTCAGACGGCTGTACATCTCCCTTTTGCTCTTCTCCCCTGCCCAGGTCCGGCTCTTGGTGCGGAACTTCTTCAGGTCTTCTTTGAAGTCCTCGTGGTGCATGGGGCGGTAGCCGGGGGGCTCACAGTGAGACTGCAGATGGGAGAGGACGAGATGAGGGGCCCCCGCCTCATGGCTCCCCCCACGTGCAAGGCTGGGAGCAGCGCCCACTGGACAGCACGTTCCAGGGCCCTTCTCCGTGCAGGGCAGATCCCCAGATGAGACACAGCCATGCCCACCAGACAGATCGGACCGTTCAAGCTGGGTGAGGGGGCACTACGCCCTCCATAGACTCCCCCTTACCTGGCATTTCAGGAAGAACTCCTTGTACCCACCCTTCAGGACATACAGCTCAGGGTAGTGGAGTTTGGGATACTCGTTACCAAGCCGATCTCTCTCTCTCACGTATCGGCACCTACGAAGAAGGCAGGCCAAAGCGAGGTGAGCCCTTGTGACGCAGAGAACATGACACAACGCAGCAAGCGCGGCGGGGCGGTGCAAACACTCCTCACACAGCTTCCCAGTCTCCCGGTCATTCATGGAAACATGTTGAGCTGTGCGTTCCTGGCCACACGTGATCTTTAGGAAGAGTTCCCAGGTGGTGGGAGGGAGACAGTCTCTCCCCAATGGTCCTTCCTCTGAGTTAAACAGCCCTACCATCCGGCCCCTGCCCAGCGTCCTCCCTGCCCCCACCAGAGTGACATGCAGCTGCCCACATGGAGTGACAGCTTCTGAGCCAGCTCCCCACTGCAGTCTCCGCTCCTGGCACATCCACGACCCGGGGTCCCTCCCTTACTTCCTGTGTAAGCCGGCTGCCTTCTTCCTGTGGCTTTTAAAGAGGCTGAGCTGTCTCCTGCCTCAGGGCGCCTCCTTCCACCCTCTGCTTGGACTGAATTCTGAAGATCTTACTAACAGCCCTCACCCGGCCTTGGCTCCTAAGCTCCCGATCCCTGATACCAAAGCCGAAGTCCTCCCAGGGGCCCACAACGTGGCACCCCACCCCCGCCACTCTCCCCATCTCCCCACTCCAGCCACTCCTGCCACCTTGCTGCTCCTCCAACGTGCTGGGGGCACCCACCTCTCATCTTATTTGTCTCCAAAGCACCTTCTAACACACTGAGTAGCTGACTTATTTTTTTGTTTGTCTTTTCTGCCCACCCAGAAATGCAAGCTCCGTGAAGACCAAGATTTTTTGCTCTCCTACGTTTTGCTGTTCCCTGCAGTGCCCAGAACACCTTCTAGCAGGCGAGAGGCAACAGGACCTGTAGAGTGAATGAGTAATCCCACTCGTGAAGGAACAGGAGTCCTCGCTGAAACCCTGCCTCTTCCTATGAACAGTTCTGTGCCAAGTTCAGGGCAAGTCCCTGTCCTTGGGAGGGAGGTGGGGAGACAAGTTGCTGCTGCAGGTGCATGTGGTCCAGTGAGGCAAAACAGCGGCGCTGTGGACGTCAGGTGAAGCACATACAGGCAAAGCTCCCCCCCTTTTTTTTTTACGTAGGGGCATCTGGGCAGCTCAGTTAGTTAAGCATCTCCCTTCGACTCAGGTCATGATCTCAGGGTTCTGGGATCAAGCTCTGTGTGGGGCTCCCTGCTCAGCGGGGAATTTGCTTCTCCCTCCGCCTCCTCCCCACTCCTGCACATGCTCTCTCTCTCAAATAAATAAATTAAAAACAATTTTTTTAAAAGAGATTTGAGTGTGTGTGTGGTGTTGGGGGCGGGGTGGTGGCAGAGGGAGGGAGGTAATCTCAAGCAGACTCCCTGCTGAGCACAGAGCCCAAAGCTGGGGACCATGACTTGAGCCAAAATGAAGAGTTGGGACTTTTAACGGACTGCGCCCCCCAGCTGTCCCCATGTGGCCTGACTTTTGAACTGATTCAAAATGAAAAGGCTATGCAAGAATCTAGGCCTGCGGGCCTATGAAAAGTTTACCTTGGCCCACCCTGGTCAAAGCTGCACCCCGCCCTGCCCCAGCCCCCACCCCCCTCTCCAGCTGTCCCCCTGTTCTCCCAGCACAGACCACACTAGCATCTGAGACAGGGCCAGGCTGGAGAAGGCCCAAAGCCCTTGGCAACAAAAACTGCTAGGTCAAACCTATAAAAAGCCACACTCAAGGAAGCTGTTCATCAAATCAAATGACGGTTTAATAGATAAGAATTTGGGAAAACATCTGCTACACATGAATTTGAACTTTCACAAAGCCAACATTTGCATGCATGCAGGCAAGGGTATGGAAATGACTCAGGAGGTGTGATAGGGTGCTCAGTGTGCTGACGTCTGCCCCGAGTGCGAGCCATCCCCGGCCACATCCCCCCAGTTACCGCGGGCCCGCGCCCCAGAGCCCAGCTGCACGCAACACTCACATGCGAGGACCTCGCTCAGAAGAGAACTCGCAGTGGAACACGACAATGACGCGCTTGCCATCAGTAGGTACAATGGGCTTCTTGAGTAAGAAGTCCTCAACCTCCTCCTCCATGTGCAAGTTCACCGCACCCTGTGGAGGCACCAGAGACTCTTGGCACCCGTACGCATCACACTTGCCAATAAGGATTCTGGGAGAGTCATCTTTAATTGGTACCTCATCATATTCTGTTACGACTACGGTGGACATGACTGGTATTTACGAACTCGGGACTTTCGAAAGCCACTGAGACAGTGGCAAACACCCACGTACTGAATGTATCCCTTTACTATATATTTCAACACTATTTTATTGGTTAAAAGATTAAGCTGGCACAACCAGTCACTTTCTTCCTGGGAAACAGTGTCACAACACCCACCCGCCACCCTGCGGCTTAATTCCATTACAGACTTAGAGGCATCTAAGCCTGGCATAGACGGAGATACGTCCCCAGAGACTGGCTTCTGGTCAGGAGCCTTGGCATGCTCAGGCCTGGCTTAGCAATCAGTGGGTACCACCTAGAAACGCCCTGGATGGTGCCGGTGTGAGGCCTAGGACAGCGAGCATCTGCAGCAGTGCGGTGAGCAGTGCAGGCCAGGCAACGTTCTTCACTGCCCCAGGAATCGAGGCCTCTTTTCAAAAATTCTCATAACCAGCATGTGAGCTAATAAACAGCCAGGTGTCACACCCTCCCCCTTTATTTTACTTTTTATTTTTTAAGTAGGCTCCATGCCCAGTGTGGAGCCCTATTTAGGGCTTGTACTCACAACCCTAGGATCAAGACCTGAGCTGGGATCAAGAGTTAGAGGACGCTTAACCAACTAAGCCACCCACACACCCTGACCATCCTGCCACCTTTTAAAAAATCACATCCGTGGGGCGCCTGGGTGGCTCAGTCTTAAGTATCTGCCTTTAGCTCAGGTCATGATCCCAAGGTCCTGGGACTGAGGTGGGCACCTGGCTCCCTGCTCAGCGGAGAGTCTATTGCTCTCTCTCACTCTTGTTGTCTCTCAAATAAATAAATAAAATCTTAAAAAAAAAAAAAAATTAAAAATAAATAAATAAAATCACAGATCCTGTCAGGGCTCCTTCTATGCCTCCCACAACAGCAGGGCTCACCAGCAAGTCTCAGGAACATACCTTGATGTGGCCTCCTTCATATTCATATGGGTACCGGCAGTCAATGATGACAAATTCTTTAATGAGGTTGGCAAACTTGCCGTTTAAAACAGATGCCATCTGTGGACAGAAAGCCCAGGAGAATCAACTTGGGCTGCCAGGAATAGCTAGAATCAAATACCCCATGGGTGGCAGGATCCAAAAAGACGACTTACAATTTCTGGAGAGATGTATTTTAAATCCTGATGCTTCCCAGCAACTGTATGAAAGAGATAACCCTTGGGGGAAAAAAAAAAAGATACTTAGTAAATCTCAAAAGGCCTATAAATGCAACATTTACACTGCTAGCCTGCCTGGCAAGAGGCAGCTTTATACACAAACCTTAATAGTACAGGCAGGTTACTTATCTAGGCACTTTGTCAACATCCTGACATCGCATGTTTGCTCATACCTAAAAGGCTATTATCCTCATTCTCATGTGTAAAGCTGGGCACCCTATCTGAGGTTAGCTAGCTAGTAAGCCAGAAAACATACAGAAAACTCAGGTAATTTCCTTCCCCCTCCTTGTCAGGAAGCTTCATCTCAGTAGCCAAATTGGCAGGAACATGGTGCTGGGCATTGGAGATGGGAAAAATGAGACCTGGCCTGGCCTTGAGGGGAAAGACAGACACATCGACAAATACTCATTAGGGCAATTCGCTGAATCAAGAGCTCACCCGTCCCCATGGCCATTTGTAAGGTCATTATGACAAATATAACCAACAGCTTCAATTCGAATGGAAGGTTCCATCAACGAGGACACACCCAGTATCTGCTTGCTCTTCCCTTCAGACAGAATTGTCTCCTATTTTTAATCCCCTTACAGGTCTCTATTCCTTCAAAACCTACCTGGCTGAAATGTGAAATATGGCCCAGACCCGTACCTTCCCCAATCTTCTAGCTGGGACAACCCGTCTTCATTTTTCCCAGTCTGCTTATACTGCACTGACCTTCATTTCCATCTACTGTGCAGTCCATGGTCCATGGCACAGCAAGTCTTACCACATGAGAAGTGTTTTTGAGGAAAGGGACTGGGTCTCATACTGGAATCTTTGCTTAATACGTAACAGTAAATGCTTTAACAAATGCTAGCTAAACTAATGAATAAGAAATTGATCTGGTAGCCTTCATGTCCTTGTGGCTGAACCAGCCGCTACCTTCTCTGTCCCACCCTCCTATTTCACCACAGCCCAAAGGCCGCCAAGTCCTCCACTCAGCAAATCCGGATGTATCAGACTTCAGATCTTCCTCCACACTTCCCTGAGGGCCTACTCCCTCAAAGACTTTGCTTCTCTGGACAATAGAGAAATTTGTCAATTTAGGATTTTCTAAGATAACCTTTTGATACAGTCATATTGTGAGGCTACGGGTTTTTTCTTGCTTCTTTGTACTTTACTGCACTACTATTTTTATAATCAGAAACACAGTTCCCAAGGAGCCTGGCCTTTGGGTTGGAGTTGAGGTGGCTGGTTGGTGGCTTCCTACTTTGTCTGATCAGTACCAGTAAGGTTGACAGTGGCAGAGAAAGATACATCAGATCATGAGACTGTTTCCTTACCTTTAAAAACTTCAAACTGTGTCCCCTTGGGGGCATTGCAAGAGCCACTCCAGGGAGGGAGAAAGGCTGAGGGAGGTTCTAGGAAACACCCCAAAGTCCAAATCACATAGCCAGAACTCCTTGCGTCTGTTTAGAATTACCTTGGAGAATGGGGTGCCTGGGTGGCTCAGTGGGTTAAAGCCTCTGACTTTGGCTCAGGTCATGATCCCAGGGTCCTGAGATCAAGCCCCACATCGGGCTCTCTGTTCAGCAGGGAGCCTACTTCCTCCTCTCTCTCTCTCTGCCTGCCTCTCTGCCTACTTGCGATCTCTGTCTGTCATATAAATAAATAAAATCTTAAAAAAAAAAAAGAATTACCTTGGAGAAGTCTCCTATAAGGTCCCTTGGGTCATTATCCAAAATGTTCTCAATGGTGCCCTTTGGGGAAGATGCCAAGGATAAAGACTGATGTAGAATCTGTAACAAATCAAAGGTGGAAAATGAGGCCAGGGTTCCGAATAGGACTTTTGAAAACATTCACCTAGAACATGTCACCAGGAGATGACATGTAAATGTCTGTATTTAGCAAATAAAATATTTTCCTTATTTGATTGAATCTGGAATGAAAAAGACAATGTGGGTCACTGACTAGGTCTATTATTTCAGTGTCTAACTCAAATGTTCTGAAACTAAGTTTTTTTCTTCCCTTTTTAAATTTTTAAAAATTTTTAGAAGATTTATTTGAGAGAGAGAGAGAGAGCGTGTGTGCACAAGTAGGAGAAACAGCAGGCAGAGGGAGAGGGAGAAGCAGGTTTCCCACTGAGCAGAGCCCGATGTGGGGCTTGATCCCAGAATCCTGGGATCATGATCTGGGTTCAAGCCCCATGTAGAGTGTAGAGATTACTTAAAAATAAAATCTTAAAAAAAAAAAGAAAAGAAAGCAGGGCTTTTTGAAGAAGCAATTGACTCCAGGTTGGGACAAGAAATGTACAAGATAAACCTGGAATGCCTTCTGATAGTAGCAAGGAAGTTACCAGACTAGTCAGGCAACTAGTCAACCCCAAAAGGGCTAGTCATAGGGAGGTAAGGATTTCTTAAGCAGGACACAAAAAGCACTGAACAGAGATAAGACTGATGAACTGAAATACATTTAAAAATCAAGAAATTCTGTTCATCAAAAGAACAGTATTAAGAGAAACGGCAAGCCAGAGTGGGAAGATATATAATCTGTCAATACTACACAGCAATAAAAAAAAGGCGAGGGGTAGGGGAGGACCCAACCACGGAAATGATATACAACAAATGATTCTCACAAAAATAATGCTGAACAAGAGAATCCAGACATAAATGAATATATACAGTAGGACCCCAAGGATACAAGATTCAAACATGGGCAAAACTTGGCCACATTGGCAGAGCTCAGATCCGTGTTACTGAGGGGAAGCACAGGAGGGGCTCTGAGGGGCTGCCGGGGCTCCTTCTTGGGTCACAGTTGGGTGTTTATGGGGGATGTTCACTTCAAAGAGATCCAGCATTCATTCTGTCTTTCCCAAGGGTGACCAAAGAGTTTGATGCGCAGAAGTTTCTCTTTGTGGGAACATTCTACCAATAAAGGACGAGTGATGGAACTGCAGGATCAGTTTCTGAAACCTTTGTTAAATGAAACCTAGGCAATATTCATCAATGACTGCCCAGTGGCGGGCTGTGTGATCCAAGTAAACGAATCACCCAGGAAATAGTCATGCCAAAGAAATGGAACCGCAATCTGATTAAGCCTTCCCGGAGTTTAGGTGTACGGGTCATCCAGAGGATAGAAGACAAAGTCAGAATATCCCATAGGACTGGGAACTTCTACAGGACAACTGGTCTGAGTTCTTCAACCGATAAATCTCAAGAAAGAAACAAAAAGATGGAGCCCAGGGGCCCAAATAATAAGAGACCTAGTGACTAACTGCAAGGCACAGACCTTATTTTAACCTAGATTGGAACAAATAAACTGGAAACGCATTTAGGGCACAATTATAAATTACACCGGGGCATCTGGGTGGCTTCGTTGGTTAAGCATCTGACCTGATTTCAGCTCAGATCAAAATCTCAGGATCATGAGACCCAGCCCCAGCCCCTGCTTTCCCTTCTCTCTCTGCCTGCCTCTCTGCCTATTGTGATCTCGCTCTCTCTGTTAAATAAATAAATAAAATCTTTAAAAAAAATTAAACTTTTATTAGGCCATGATAGGTCTGAATTAAAAGAAAACAATGGAACCAGAACACTTAGAAAATACTGAAAAACACTACACCGTTGTGAAACAAACTTAAAATAGTGGGTAATTTGTAGATCCAAGTAGACCAGAAGACAGTGATGTAGCAAACTCAAAGTAGTAAGAAACCATAAGGAAAGTCTATTCTCCCTAACCAAAGAACTAAGAAAAGGGCCGCCTATCAAGGCAGAAAACTAAGACAATACCACCACTGTAGGCAACGCCAAGGGAAAACTGATGGCCCAACACCAGGCCCGGTCAGAAGCAGGGAGCTAACTTGTTCAGCCCTTGCCCAACTGTAATGAAATGCCCAGTCTCCATTCCACTGGAACGGTATCAGCAGAGCCCCTGTGGGGACCCTGAACCCCCACTCCTGCCCAATAATAATGAGGCTTACCCCCATCCAGTGTGTCAAGCGAGGCTGTGTTGGGGGAACCTGAACTTCCACCCCTATCATCCCCGCAGTTATCACAGGCCTAAAATAGAACATTTACATAGACCCGAGTCTTATGATACCCCAAATACACAGGATACAATATAAAGATCACTTGCCATAGCAAGAATCAGGAAGATCTCAACTTGAATAAGAAAAGACAATCAACCAAACCCACCACCACAACTTGGACGCTGGAATTATCTGGCGAGGATTTTAAAGCAGCCATCCTAAAATGCTTCAAGAGCCAACTGGGAACATGCTTGAAACACATGGAAAACAGTAAGTCTTGGCAAAGAAAAAGAACCAAATGGAAATTTCAGAATTGAAAAATACAGTATCATGCTCCTTGAACGAAGAGGCACCTGCCAGACCAACCTCCTGGGGCTTCTCTGGACTGGCTGCCTCCTCGGGACCGGCCCCAGTCATGCTCTTTCTCCGCTTTGTATTTGCGGGCAGGTGCTCCTCTTGAGATCGGTCTGGTCTTTTTAACACTGACCGGGTGACGAAGCTACACGGGGACGAAGAGTCAAACAGCTTGCATCGATTCCCCTACAGAGGAAACAAAAGAGACCCATCTTCCATTAAAACCTGCTCACTTGAGGGGCAGCTGGGTGGCTCTGTTGGTTAGGCAGCCAACTCTGGGTTTCAGCTCAGGTCATGGTCTCAGGGTCCTGGAATCAACTAGAGTCAGGCTCCGCATGGACCCTGAGCACGGAGACTCCTGAGCACGGAGTCTGCTTCAGGATTCTCTCCCCCTCTGCCTCTCCCTTCCCGGTTGCTAGAGCTCTCCCTAAAATAAATAAATCTTAAAACCCAAACCAAACAAAAACCCCTGTTCATTTGGGACAGTAAAGAGGATGGGTGAAGGGCTTGCTGGGAGGAAACACACTGTCCCTTTCTCTAGTCCCAGTGACTGTTGGAGGCCTGGGCACATAGTAGCCACTGAGTACCTGATGCCTACCGAACACGTATACAGCTGACAGGATACGGAGATGAGAAGACAATCAGCTCTCCAAAGCTGTCTACACAGAGTCCCCAAGGTCAAATCACTGTTACCTTCCAGCTGGGAACACATTTTTGGTTTGCCTCCTCCCCACTGTTTGTTAACCTGCACCTTGCTCTCAACCGGTTTTAATACCCCACCTAAATCCAGAAAAGGTATGAAGTTGCTAGATCATGCTAGAAAACAGGGCCAATGAGGTGTTAAGATAGTGCTAAGGGTGTGCGTTTGTAAGAACAGGGGTGCACAGAGGAGCAAGTGCCTTCAAAATTGTGTTCAAAAGTCCTCTTGAGGGGTACCTGGGTGGCTCAGTGGCTTGAGCCTCTGCCTTCGGCTCAGGTCATGATCTCAAGGTCCTGGGATCGAGTCCCGCATCGGGCTCTCTGCTCAGTGGGGAGCCTGCTTCCCCCTCTCTCTCTGTCTGCCTCTCTGCCTACTTGTGATCTCTGTCAAATAAATAAATTAATTAAATCTTTAAAAAAAAAGGTATTAATTAAGGGGAAAAAAAAAAAAGTCCTCTTGACCTGGTCTTTCTAAGACTAATTTTCCAGAGTCCTGAGGCAGCCACTCTGACCAGTGGGAGGGGCAGTCTAAACTCATGTGTCTGTTCATGACTCAGTGTGCCCTGGCTTGGCTTTCCCTTCCATGCAGAATCTACTTTCATACCCCAGTAAACCACTCCTTTTCAAGTTGATACTATAATTGTGATGCGTCCTTGAAATGTTCCAGTTAATCCCTAGAAGAGTGTGCCACTCCCAAACCAACTTTCCCAGAGACCAAGACTATTCCTAAAAAATCTATTCCATATTAATGGAATGTTTTCTGAAAAGCGAGACCAGAGTTCTTTTTTATTTGTTTGTTTTTTAACCTAGAAGAGCTGAAAGCATTTTTGGGGAAGAGGGTCACTACCTTCAACAATCTCAGGGGGAACTGTGAACCACCCCAAGGGCCCAAACCACATTTCCAACACAGCCCAGCAACTCAGAGTCTGCAGTAAGTATCCTTATAAGGCAAGTCCTCACTGTGAAGGGCCCCAGAACTCTATTGGTTAAAAACCTGATTAAACAACAACAAGGGGTGCCTGGGTGGCTCAGTGGGTTAAAGTCTCTGCCTTTGGCTCAGGTCACGATCCCAGGGTCCTGGGATCAAGCCCCACATTGGGCTCTCTGCTCGGTGGGAAGCCTGCTTCCTCCTCTCTCTCTGCTTGCCTCTCTGCCTACTTGTGATCTGTCAAATAAATAAATAAATAAGTAAATCTTTAAAACAAAACAAAAAAACCACCACCAACAAAAAACTGATAGACATTTCCCAAGCTTCCTCATTCTGTACAATTTATGTACATACATAAAGACATACAATTTATGTCTTTCAAAGGGACCTAGTAAATTTAGTCAGAGCATTCGTACTGGGATAGCCCATTAGCAATGCTTATAATTTTTAAGTGATCTTAGGGGTATAGTTCATTTGTCCCATATTGATAGTTCAAGGGCCATGCTAGTTTAAAAATGTAAGGATATCAATTTATATTATACCTAAGTGCATGGGGCTCTCACTTTGTGCTGTGACAGTATCTAATTTTCACCAAGCGTCTGCAAAATAGTTGAGAATGTGTCCCTGTGCATGTATAGCCTCGCTTCTAGCTTTGTTTGAAAGTATCCCTGATGGAAACAGAAGTCTATAGGTGATATACTGAGAGAAAGTCTGTGAGTTACTGTTGTTTGGCAAGTGTTGTGCTAGATGATATGGAACATAAATACACAAGAAAGCTCAAAAAAATACATGAAAAAGATTGAAAAAAAAGGGGGGGGGGCAAATAGTCTTTAGACTAAAGCCTTCATACTTGAAAAGTCTTTTTCCAACTACCGGATGTTAAGAGCAGGCAACAAATGTGATCCTTCCCCTAATCAAGACTCCTTGTTTTACAAGCTGGGAAACATGCAGACAGATGAAATGATCTCTCAAGGTCTCCATTTGTGGGTCTAAACCCAGATCCCTAGGTCCTGTTGTTCCACTTGACCTTTGGTTGTACTCACCTAAGGTGGCATAATTGAGGGCACAGCGCTACCATCCCAAATGCTACGGAGAAGATGGGAGACAGCAAGCTCTCTACGCACCACGTACTTAAACAAAAAGACACCCAACAAAACTGAGGATTTTTTTTTTAAGAGTGTCTCTCCCACTGACAACTTTGGTGCCATTGTCAAGACTTCCCCTTTACCACTATTTACCCCTAAATACCACTTGTTCCTAATTTAGGATTCCTTCAACTATTCCCTCATCTCCCTGTAAATCAGAAAAAGTCTGGAGCACTTTGCCAAATAGTCACAACCAGCGCCCAAGTACTCTGTTTGTTAACTGACCCCTCCTCCCTTCCAGTTAAGGGTCACACTCAAATTCTAGCGTCCCTGGGGAAATCCGTCCAACCCCCTTAGACTGGCAGACGGGTGACACCCGTCACCACCTCACCCCTGCCCACCACATGTCCCCATTCTCCCCCTTCACAGGGCCATGTGCTTTTCCCCAGATGAACTCTCTTTCACACATCCTGCCCCCCAGCAAGTTCCCACACAGCCTGAGACCCTGAGCAAACGTGCCCTCCCTGTGGGATCGGCCCCCGACTTGCTCACAACACTCAGGTGGTGGCTCACAGCTTATGGCTCTTTCTACGGGCATGGACGTTCTTGCCCGTGAAGGGTCCACAAGGCCCACCCATTCGATGGGCTACACGTGACCAATACAGGGTAAGCTGCTGTCTGCTTCCCCACTGGGGGCTCCAGAGCTCCACGGCTACTGTGTGACAGAGACGTGGAAAAATAACTCATTCCTTGCTGTCGTCGTACTGCTGAAAGGGTGAAGTTTTAAAATGGGGGCTGAGTCAAACAAAGGTGTAGCTGAGGATGACAGCGGGGCAAACCCTATGTGGGACAAGATGATGACACACAAGCTATACAAGCTATAACAACAGCCTATGAAGGACACCGGCTAGAAGCGAAGTCTCAGTGTGAAAGCACAGACTGAGTTCACCCACTGATGCCTCAAACTCCTGGCTGAAGCCAAATGTTGGTGGCCGCCACAGCAAGCCGCCTGCCCCTTCTCAAACTCAGAGCACCTCTCTGAGCAGGTAAAGCAGAGGGCCAGAGGGGGCTCTGCTCTGCAGAGGTGGGACACAGAGCTTCATGGGCCACTTTCGGACCCTACACCAATGAAGAAGCCATCCAGGATGTGCCTCTATCCGTAACAGTTGTAAGCAAATGCTTGGCTGGGTCCGAGGCAAGTCTAACTTGACCTAGGCAAAAGAAACACAAATATCTGTCCTAAATATGAGCTGTGAGTGAGTCTATACAGGAGAAATGGAAAAACAGGAAATAGGAAAAACATAAAAATGATATAAAACTTCAGTTATCTACGAGTAACACTCTCAGCACCCTTATGCTCTGAAATAATCTGAAACTCCACGTGGAAAATACCTGCAGTAAAACAGAATCTTTGAGCAGAAAATGTTTGTTCCAAACGTTTGGCAGTATTTGTGCAAATGTTGAAAAACATGGAAAAAACAATCAAGCAAACCTAAGAAAGAGGAGAGCCAGCTCCCCACGTAGGTGTGCCTCTCAGCTCCTGGAAGACATCCTGGGTTTTGAGGCCAACCAAGGCCTGGGCCTGTGAACTCAGCCTCATTCAGGGCCAATCCCTAGACTACCCGGCCCAGCACCCACAGCTGAGAACACAAAGGTGCCATCCATCATGGTCACTTACGAGGGGTTCAATTTAGCAAACATTTTCCTGAGATCTTAAACTAGAAAGTAAGAGAGGTCAGAGTTGAACAGAAAAGACATTAACACACACACACACACACACACACACACACACACACAAGAGGACATTAACTTGACCAAGAAAGGTTGGGATAAACTAAAAATTATAAAATAAGAACTAGTGTGTATGTATCCCTGCCAGACTTCCTCACACACCAATAAGGAAACAAAGAAACAAAAGAAAACAAAGAAACAGGGTGCTTTACACCAGAGAACACCAGTGACCAGTCAAGGGAAAGGCCCACAGACCGAAAGACAGAATCAAATGAAACTATTTCTGATCCCTGTGGTGATGTGGGCAGAAGGATTAGTTTTCCATTTAGTCTAGTCCACTCTGTCCCAGAGGCCTAATTACTCGAGTCTCTCTCCAGACACACAGGAACAACTTACAAGGTTTGTCGTTCTTCTCATGACAAGGGGAGCTGTCCAGAGGCTCGACATGCACGATGGGGTCTCTTCATCATTCTAAAAGAGAAAAACTATTATAAAGATCCAGCAGAGCCTAACAGTTTGAAGGCGTTAGGTGTGACTCTGCCTGAGAAGTATCAGATAGGCCTGGATAGGAAGCCTCAACGTTCGCTCCTCTTTCCCATTGCCCAGTATGTTAAGGTCAGAAAAGCATCACATTTCACAATTCGGGTACCTGAACATGTAGCTAAAAGCACCCCCAACCCCAAGGATATGTGAGGAGGTAGTTTCTAGCTCTCCAGCTTTACACCAGCTCATCCTACACCTTCTTGTTCCCAGTCTCTTGTACAAAATAGACTGTCAGCTCCTTCAGGGTAAGAAGGATCCTCCCGGTGTCTTCTTTTGAACTGTCCTACTTCCACCTCAGATTTAACTAGACTAGGAGCAGAGTCTCAATAAAGAACAAAAATATCAGCCACCCAAAGCCCTGGGGAACTGCAGTTCTTTCTCACGACTTCCCCAGCGTACTCAGTGGAATGGGTAGGAACACATGCGCGCACACACACACACACACACACACACAACTCAGTGGAATGGGTAGGAACACACACACACACCCACCCACCTTCAGATTCTCTCCGTCAAGAAGGTCCATGAAGCCATCATCCTCATCAGACAAAGTGGCTGTCACAGGGGACTGAGGCATAAAAAGAGGGACGAAATTCCCGGGCTCACTGCCATCTCTTTCGTTGGAGGAAAGCTGGAAGACAGAATTCACATCTTGTAAATGACTGATCACACTGGATTCCCTTGGATGGGTCACTAGATTTTATGAGGAAAACATACTGTATTTATTAGAAGTAAAATTGTGGCAGCTACTCATCAAAAGAAAATGCAGCCCAAGATGACAAAGGATTTGATATCTACAGTCCTGAGCAGCATCAGGCCTGGAAGCCTTCAAAAAAACCTCTTCTCAGAAGCAATTCACCTTACAGTGGAGTTGGGGAGAGCCTCTAGCGAAGGGCAAGGTTTGCTTTATCAGAGGACTGTAATCCGCGAAGCGGGTTGTGATACAGCAGGATAACCGGCTGCAAGGAGGAAAGTGATACAGTCTCCGCCCACAGAACTGCCTAGAGAATGCCTATGTGACTCTAGCTCTGACGGGGTTGCGGGGAGAGGAAAGGGTGGCCTGATTCTACAAAGTCTATCCTAGTCCGTTAGACTTGGAATTTGAATGATAAGTACTGTTTTTAACTGAGGAATTACTGTGTACTGGGCACTATGATATCATCTTAAGTGTTCAGTTCCATTTAAACCTCACAACACATTGAGGGGAATTACTCCTTCTCTACTTATTTAACCAATCAGGAAATCAATGCTTGAGAGGTTACCAAGATCACATGGCTCACCCATTTGACTCCAAAGCCCAAGCTTCTCTCCCCACTACATTTTCTCCTAGGAGAGAGAACCATTCCTGGAGTAAAAATGGGGTATTTTACTAGGTGACCCTATGTTGTTCTCTGGGGGGTAACCCCCATCATAAAACTACTATATATTTAATATAGGAAATTTAGACAGATGGCTCATAAGTCTACCATCTAGAGATAAACATTACTGGGGTGCCTAGGTGGCTCAGTCAGTTAAGGGTCTCCTTTCAGCTTGGGTCACGATCCCGGGGTCCTGGGATCAAGCCCCACGTGGCTCCCTGTTCGACGGGGAGTCTGCTTCTCCCTCTCCCACTGCCCCTCTGCCCCGCTCATATTCTCTCTCTCTCAAATAAATAAGTAAAATCTTAAAAAGAGTCTAGATATAAACATTACTAATACAAACATTGCTGATAGTGAACTGTATCTTTTCCGGATACTTCCCAAAGCCAGGAAAAATGTTCAGAGAGGGATTTTTTCCCCACAGTAAGGAAGCAGTCTCAACCTAAGTCCTATAGACAATCCTTAAGACACAAATCCCTTTGTGGCTGGCCTCCTCTGCTTCAGGCACCTGCTTGCTTCACATAAGTTCTAGGTGCCTCTGAACCTCCACAAGTGCTCCCGAGCATGCCTGGGGCATACTGGCAAGTTTTCAGCCAGCAGAACCAAGGGGCAGGTAATTTTATTGTGGGGCAACACCCTTGAAGGCTCACACTAGAATACCACTATTTGTGGGGCGCCTCGGTGGCTCAGCTGGTTAAGCGTCTATCTTTGGCTCAGTTCATGATCCCAGGGTCCTGGGATCAAGTCCCACATTGGGCTCCTTGCTTAGCCGGGAGCCTGCTTCTCCCTTTGCCTGCTGCTCTCCCTGCTTGTGTGCTCTATCTCTCTGACAAATAAATAAACAAAATCTTTAAAAAAAAAATTTACAACACCAGTATTTGTGATCTAAGTTCTGGGATCCCTAGTGCACACGTGATACAGCAAATGATGGACATGTCACCTATAATTAGGGATGACCAGGTGACCACAATAAACCCCGATGTAGTGGTCTTCAAGGGCACACTAAAGAGATTTAGTTTTGGATACCCAGTACTTAAAAGAATTACTGCGTAGTTGGGAATCAGTAGATTTTGTTAAATCCTGGTCTTCTATTTATGTGTCCTTTGGCAAATCACCCAACCTCCCTGACCAGACTTTTCCCAATCCATAAAAGGGGTTAACTCCAGCTACTTCACAGGCTTATGAAGATTTAAAGACCGGAACATATATAGAAGAGCTTTGTGCATATGCTAGACAGAGTAACGATACTGGACCTGGACCTGAACCTGGACCTGACAGCACAAGCCAGACTGGAAAGCTATATTTTCACATGCCAAGTTCCCAGGAAAACCTGGAAACCAAATGTGGTCATTTCGTAGGGCCTCTCTAGCTTCAGCTGTCAGATCCCAGCAGGCAACTTTGGAAGTAGTGATACCTTTGTCTTGCAAAATAACCCTGGTGTAGGTGGCCCCCAGTACTGTCAAGTAGCCCATAGGGAGTGGGTTTACCAGAATCCCTAATAGTTCCTAATAAACCACCTTTGGAAGAAGCCAAATGCTGTCTCTGAACAAAACCACTCTGGAAGTATCTTAGCACCCAGGAAGCACTATGAAAGAGCAAGTTTTAAGACCTATAATCCCACCGTACACACATTTAGAAGAATGACCCAGGATGTCCCATTTTCCCAGAATTGACAAGGTCAATTATTTCTTGCTCAAGTTCAATATTCCAAACATACCATCTCTCACTCTGCTTCTACCTGTCTGCTCTCCAGACACAGCAAAAACACCAAAAAATGTGAGTCTAGTTTCAAATTACAAAGTCAAGGTAAAGACAACAAGAGCTACTATAGTGTTTCCGACTCCAGGTTAAAGAGGATGCTTTAATTCTGTTCCCATGAGGAACTCCCCTGTGAAGGCCAGGGCACATACCATCCGAGCTGGGGCAGAGTTCTGCCTCTGTGTGAAGAGATCTTTACTCTCCTCAAGTCCATGAGAATGCAGGCAGCCACGAGATGCCGGTCTTATTGGCTTCTTAAACTCAAAGGCTTCCTGCAAGACAGTAGAGTCAAGACATCTTCCACTGTCCATGAAAACCAGGGCCTTGGCTGTTGCTCAGGTGAGACAATCAGGGGAGCAGGCACTGCTCGCCTTTGTAACTGTCTCCAAACTAAGGGTTTACCTGTTTCTGAGCTTAACTTCAACACTGGATCTGTGTCACCAAGAATTTCACAGACTCTGTCAACAGCTAACTTCTAAGGCAGCATTTTTATCTCACCACAAAGACTATTTCTTGACAAAAACATAAATACCAGCCATGTATACAAAACACTGAGTTAATAAGCTAAATCAAATCAACAACTTCTAAGCTAAAGCAAAGTGTTTCAATATAATTGCCTGTGAATGGGAGCCAAAACTTCTCCCTCTAGATTTGTTTGAGGATTTTCTATTTCCCACCTTCTTCCTACCAAGAGGAGTTAATTATTTTCCACTTAACAGTTTTTGTACTTCATACTCAAAGCAATGGAAAATTAAGAAAACTACTGTTTTACTCAACGACACGAATGAATCGCGTATGTTGAGTGAAAGCCAGAAGTGACAGAATACATTCTGTATGATTCCATTTACTTCAAGTCTGAAAGCACTTATAAACCCCCACCTAAAAGAGCCACTTCACTTGTGGTGAGCACTCAGAGCAGTAACAGATAGTATCACAGAGTATTTATATGCCAACACAGCACTCAGAACTTTCTGTGCATTAACTCAGAGAACCATCACCGATCACCCCCATTTTACAGATGAGGAAAGCTAGGCCTTACAGGTTAAGTGATGTGCCTAAGCTCACAAGAGCTCTTTAACTACCATCTATGCTGTTTCCCTCCAGAACAAAGTTCCAAGCAGGCAACCCTGGGAAAAGACAAGTTCAGGGGAATATCAGGCATCAGAACAGCTTTCTTGCGTCCAGTAGAAGGCAATATATATCTCTCCCTCTCTATATATACACATACACAGGCCAAGGCAGTGCTCCAAGCACTTGAGGCAGGAACTCACTTCTGCATTCTCCCTCCAAACCACCCCCAAGTGGCTAAGGGAATTACTGGGAGAATTTATGGAGGCAGAAGGTTTTACATGAAGTCTGGGAGATGACAAGGAACATTAACTGTGGCATTTTAGCAGGGAATGGAAGAGGAGGAAATCGACATGGGGATATAGTGAGGATGAAGGCTGGGAAAGTTCAGCCGAGTCACTGAACTGTTTTGGGTGCTTACTCTGTGCAAGGCACCTGGCAGGTCTGAGAAAAGCCAGGCCGGGGTGTTCTTAGCCTTTTCAATGGTCCACCACAAGCTCACCCTCTAAGCTACCAGTTTAGTTACTCTGTAATTCCCAGAGACTTGTTGGCCCTGTTCTTTCAAATACTGCCAAGAAGCCTTTTCCTAAGCTTACAACTCATCCCAGGTGAGCACAAAGAGGCAGGGCCTGGGCAGACCCTTCTGGATAAAAGTATTCATGGTGTAATTACCCCTAAGAGCTACCATTTCAGCAATCCTCCCAGCTGGGAACCATTTTAAATACTTTATATATATTATCTTACTTAATTCCATAATGTCCTACAAGTTTTGCTACTTTGAAATGAAGAGGCCTAAAAAGAAGTAAGTGGGGTGCCTGGATGGCTCAGTCAGTTAAGCATCTGCCTTTGGCTTGGGTCATGATCCCAGGGTCCTGGGATCAAGCCCTGTGTTAGGCTCCTTGCTCAGCAGGGAGCCTGCTGCTCCCTCTCCCTCCTGCTCCCCCTGCTTGTGCTGTCAAATAAATAGACAAAATCTTTTTAAAAAGGTGGGGGAGGATGCCTGGGTGGCTCAGTTGGTTAAGCATCTGTCTTCAGCTCAGGTCATGATCCCGAGGTCCTGGGATCGAGCCCCATGCCCAACATCGGGCTCCCTGCTCAACAGGAAGCCTGCTTCTCCCTCTCCCACTCCCCCTGCTTGTGTCCCCTCTCTCTGTCAAATAAATAAATAAAATCTTTTTTTTTTTTTAAGATTTTATTTATTTGCCAGAGATAGAGAGAGTACACACAAGCAGGCAGAGAGGCAGGCAGAGGCAGCGAGAGAAGCAGGCTCCCTGCCGAGCAAGGAGCCCGATGTGGGACTCAATCCCAGGACCTTGGGATCATGACCTGAGCCGAAGGCAGCGGCTTAACCAACTGAGCCACCCAGGCGTCACTTTTTTTTTTTTTAAAAGATTTTAAATAAATAAAATCTTTAAAAAAAAGAGAGAGAGAGAGAAAAGTAATGGGTCAGGGCCACACAGCTAATAAGCAGGATTCAAACGCAGGTTTCTGACTACAAAGACCATGCATGGCTTCGGTGGTAAAGGTCTAGTCTCCCAGAAAGGAGCCCAGCCACTACTGTGTAAGCCACTGACACTTGTGGCTTTACCTCTATCCTAGGTTAGTATACTGATGACACTCACATTTTCCTTGTTCTCATCCTGGTCCATCAGATGAAAGACATCATGGTCAAGAGAATCAGAATGGCTCCTCTTCAGAGCTGGGCTACATCCCAAGAGCTTCTGCTGTCAAAATGGAAAAAAAAAAAAAAAAAAAGACATTAGGGTACATGACAATGCAATGAAACTCAGGTTCAAAAGAAAAACAAAAATGGCAGTGGAGGGGGTGGGGTAGCTTCTCACACACTGCAGGGGTTAACCCAGAAATGTGGCGAGGGTTCCACCTTGCCACAACATGAGATAGAAGATCCCACTACACAGCTTCCCACCTAACCACACAAGGTTGGTCTACAGCCCTCTAGCAGAGATTTAGGGTGCCAAATCAACCCCAAAACATCATCTGCAAAAAAAAAAAGAATACTTCCTGTATCTAACTGGTAGTTAGAACTGAAAGGTGAGAGGCACCTGGGTGGCTCAGTGGGTTAAAGCCTCTGCCTTCAGCTCAGGTCATGGTCTCAGGGTCCTGGGATCAAGCCCCACATCAGGATCTCTGCTCAGCAGGGAGTCTGCTTCCTCCCCTCTCTCTGCCTGCTTCTCTGACTACTTGTGATCTCTATCAAATAAATAAATAAAATCTTAAGAAAAAAAAACTGAAAAGTGAGGTTGTTTAGCTGTTTAGGTGTTTGGAGTGCTTACAAGACTAAGGAAAAGCAGGTTTTGCTGTCTAAATTAAGTTCTACCATCAAGGTCATGCTGATAGCTAAGGAGACAGATAATACGAATTAGCTTGAAATAAACAAGGGAACTTACAGGCAGGAAACTTATTCTCCTCATGGGGTTTTCAAGGCTGCAAAGAAATCATTAGATAAACTATGAAAATAAAACAAGAGAGAGGTATTCATATTAGCAGATGCAGTGTCTAGTCTATAGTCTGGGGAGGGGGCAGTCAAACATCCCCATTTTAAGCAAAATGGAAGAACAGACTTCTGAGGCTGTGTCCTGTTCTCACAAGCACCCCTAACATTACTGGGCTTCTAGGTAAAAAGAGCAAGCCCAGGTCTTCTCTTAAAATTCACATTTCTCTTAAGTCTCTGATGCCAGAGGGTGAAGTAAAGGCTTGGGCAAGACTTGAAGAGAACACCACAAATTACAGTGAAATAAAGGATGGTAAGTCCTAAAATTTGCTGACACAAACAACTCATTCTCTAAAGGCATCAGACTTATTTGCAGGATCCACAAGTCTTACTAGGGGCAGCTAAATCCAGGGCTCCCATCCAGAGCACAAAGAATTTCAATAAAACATTATTAAGAGGAGTCTTTCCTAAGTACAAACTTTTAAAACCAGTGAATACATACTTTTCTTTACTGTCCAAGGGCCCAGGAGAATCCAGACAGAAGCCTGTGGGAAATAATAAAACCTCAGGAAATAATGCACAAAACACCATTTTGGCATTAAATAAAGCAAAAATACTACTAGTACTGTTTCTTTAAGCCATCAGTCAAGACTCACGGCTTGGACTTCTGCCAGAATTACAGGGGCATCACTATTTGACTGTCAAAAACTTCATCTCTGCACAAGTCTTAACATTTCCATAGTATAACTACCAATCCCCTTGCCCTTCTTGCAAACACCATCAAACGAATAGGATATGAGAGCTGAACATAATCTTTTAAGGACTGGTTGGTTATTCAGACAGAGATTATCCAGGTAACTTTCTGTTGAGTTCTGACCATGGAAAGAATAGGTACCAGCTTTCTGGAGGAGTTTTGACTTCAAATATTTTATCTTGTCAGATCATATGTGTAATCTGGGGCTTGGAAAAATACATTTATCAGGCCTATCACAAGCCGAGTTTTCACTGCCTTTAACAAAATAACACCAAGTAAGGTGCTCATCTCATCAAAGGGAGCAAGGTGTAGGAGACACTCCTCTCAGGATGGCCCAGACCCACCAGCGTCTGCTCTAGCCTACACCTGTCCTCACGATAGCCACATAACTGCAGAAGTCAAGAGCTAGCTCTGGTATTCTCACTTGCCACGCTGCTGCAAGTAAGAGTCCTATCCCTCATTCTTAAGAAGCCTACATTTTAAGATCTTTGCTCTTGCAGTTCCCTAACCTAAAGCATCTATGTAAATACAACCATGAATTTATGAATTAGAATAAAACGCACTGGCCCGGGGCGCCTGGGTGGCTCAGTGGGTTAAATCCTCTGCCTTCAGCTCAGGTCATGATCTCAGGGTCCTGGGATCGAGCCCCACATCGGGCTCTCTGCTCAGCGGGGAGCCTGCTTCCTCCTGTCTCTCTGCCTGCCTCTCTGCCAACTTGTGATCTCTGTCAAATAAATAAATAAAATCTTAAAAAAAAAAAAAAACACAAAAAAACGCACTGGCTCGTTTCCTCCATAGCAGGCTCACTGAAACAATCATTTGACTCTGCGTTTCAACTGATATGCTTTTCTGGTCTTGGTGTTATGGTTCATTTTACCCAGATACTCAACCTCAAGATCAAGCACACACCACCTCTCCATGCATACCCTGGGGACACTTGTTTCCTCCATAAACTACTACACGGCCTTCTTTGGCCTTCTTTGTCCTGTTCTACCGGTGTTTGTCACGGAATCCCATGACTCTTGTTTACTGTCACAACTAGGCACCACACTCAGTTTCTGGGTGAAGTGCCCGTTACAAGAAATTCCAAGTCTTGATCCCCATGTAGCAAATACGTAATAAATGTTGAAGACTAAAGGAATACCTGAATCGGTTGACTCGGAGGAGCCCATTCTCTGCAGACTGCTGTTTCTCACCTCCAGTGGCTGTTCATACTCACTGAAAGCAAGAGAAAGAATTTTCTATAAATTTCTAAAACATAATGACAAGGTTATATACAGGAGACAGGCCACGAGGTTACCAAGTATCCAGGCTGCTCTCAACCACCTCCTTCTAAGGCCACACCACAGCCACATTTTGCCACCCAAAACACCCAGTTAGCACTTGAATATAAAAGATGAGAAGGGAGTGGGTAGGCATGGCCTGGGCCACACTGTAAACAAGAGGACCACCATGCTGGAGTATTTCCTGAAGTGAGAGCATGTGTTCTAGGTACCTGCTAGGATGAAAGGTGAATCAGACAAGTTCCTGCTTTTCAGAGGCTGGAAAACGTACAAGACCTGTGCTTACAGAGACAATGGGACGTCCAAAACTGAAGGGAGAGCAGCTGCACCACAAACACCGTGGGATGCGTATTTTGCCATAAGGAAAAGCCCAGGGAGCGTTTTTGGATGGAAAGCTGAATAAAAAGGCCTGGCCATAGGAAAGCGGGGTGGAGATCACGAATGTGCACGGGGTGAGGAACTGTGATGATTTTGCACATATGCCAGGAAAGAAAATGCCATGTCTCTCTGTAGAGAAGGAACAAAGCTCGCAGGAAGCTAAGATCCTTCGAGATGGTTCAGCAAAGGATGGAAGTGAGCGCCTGGAAGGGTCCGCTTTGCCCTCGTGGGGGTAGATTACAAAGAGCTTCCTGGGATTGGGACAGAAGAAAAGTACAAAGCAGTCTGAAAAGGGTGGCCAAGGTGGGGAACCCGGGCCGACCCCACCCCCTACCGGGCCAGGCTCGGGGCTGAGGGCAGCCCTGGAGGGTCCGAACGGCCTCTCCCGCCCCACGTTCCGCCTGGGGGGAGGGTGCACATGGCGGGCCCCAGCTCAGCCGGGCGGCTGACAGGTCTCGTCCCGCTCCCGGCCGGTTTCCCAGCCGGACCCCCCACCCCCACCCCGAGCGCAGGCTGGGAGTCCAGCGGCCTGCGGCACCGCTCGCCAGACCCTCCTCACCTGCCCAGCCCCTGCAGCTGGTCCATGGTGACCGTCAGGTTGGTGACAGGAGACAGGCCCCCAGAGGCTGGCGCGCTGAACAGCGCTTTCACGACCGGCTGCGGTGCGGGAGGGGTGCTGCAGGCGAAGAGCAGGCGGCGGCGGTGCGGGGGCTCCGGGCCCAGTTCCATGGCGGCGCCGGGCCTCCCGGGGCTCCCGCTCTCTCTTCCTCCGCCTCTGCCTCCGCCTCCGTCCGCCCGCCCGGCCCCGCCCCGCCGGCACCGGCCTCGGCCGCGCGCCCCGCCTCGGGCGCCCGCGGGTCAAACACAAACACGACCCCGCGGTTCAGGGACGCGGCTGCCGCGGGCAAGCGGCGCGGACGGGCGGGCGTCCAGACCCGGCAGGCGCCAGCGACATGCACGGGTGATTCCCCCGCACCCCGCGAGGCCAGCGGGCGGGCGGGCGCCGGCAACCTGAAGATTAAATCCAAACAAACGCGTCGGGTCGAGAAGAGAGAGCGGCCAGGGCCGCAAGGCAACGGCCTGGGCTCACTGTCTTCGCTTTTCTCTCTTTTTTTGCCCGAAGCCGGGGTCGCGGAGCACCAAGTGGACCTTCACCTCCCTTCCGGGCTGTCGCTGCTGAGGTGGCCTTTCGCGGTAATAGCTGATCACTAGGGACCTCCGCTGCCCCGCCCCCCTTTCCTAGTTGGCGCCAAACGGAATCCACCAATCAGCAAGCAACTTCTCCTCCTCGCTCCCGAATGGCAGCTACGCTGGGCCAATGAGAGGGGAAGAAGGAAGAGGCTCGCGTGGCTCGGCGAGGTCACCCGCTCTCCCTAAGGGGCGGGGCCTAGAGAAGGCCTGAGCAGATCCGAATGAGAGGGAGCTCAGAGGTCAATGAAAACTCCCAGCAGAACCTGCGAGACGCGGGTAGAGACGGCGAGACCTCTCTTGCCCCGTTGCATGCTGGGAAGCGTAGTTCGCACCCCCCACGGCCGTCCAGGCACCTCCCACCCGCTGTGGCCACCGCTGCATGGCCCCTTCCCGGAGGTCCACACACGGAGGGGACCTGAGCCTGGAGAGAGCCGTCCCGGCCACTGGGGGCCGGCCCGAGCCCAGCCTTGGTCTGACCTATAACCATGCGGTATTGTAGGCCCCTTTCTTCCCGGGGCCTACAGGTCCCAATTTTGTAACTGAATGACCTAAGGACTGGACTCTGCGTCTTGAACTCCAGGCTCCCAAAGCGAAGCACGTCACACTCTTGCGGTGCTGGTCACGAACTGACCACACAGACTTGAACCCTACTATACAGGCTGCTGGACTCCGCATTCCTTACTTACCTCCATTTTAAGTTCACACTGTATTTTTTCAAAATCATTTCCTTCGTTTCTAACCTTTCTTACCCTTTTGGGTGCTCCAAGATAGCAATGCCATAAATACAATAATAAACACTTATATGGTGTTTATGTGCCAGACACTGTTCCAAGTGCTTTATCTGTACTAATTCATTTAATCCTTACAACACTGTGGGGGAGGAGTTGTTCCCATTTTAGAGGTGACCGTATTTATTTTTATATCTCCTACCTCAGTGGCAGGTCCTAGAATGAATGGTTTTATAAAAGGGGCATAGGTACAGTGATCAGGCAGCAAGAGGACTTGTCTGTAGACAGCATGCTTAGAGCAGACACTATGCTAATTTGGATTGTATAGTTATTTTAGGTGTCTGCTGGAGATTATGACCATTACCTCTGCTTAGGGCCAACCATTAAATACATTCATTTAAGTATTTCTTTGAAAAGCTTTTGCTTTCAAAGATTTGTATTACACAAATAATACAAAATAATTATAGCCTTTAGAAAATACAGATAAGCACAATTTAAAACATCTGTAATTTTACCATCATCAAGGACACAACTGTCAACATTTTAAACGTTTTTTTTTTTAACATTTTAAATTTTTTGTGTGTGTGTGCATTGTAAGCATACAATCAGCATTCGTTTCTGAGTCAAATAAAGGAATTGAAAGCTCTCCCTCCTGGGGATACCTTGGGGGCTCAGTCAGTTAAGACAGTTAAGTGTCTACCTTTGGCTCAGGCCCTGATTCTGAGGTCGTGGGATCGAGTCTCGCATGGTGCTCCCTGCTCAGCAGGGAGCCTGCTTCTCCCTCGGGCTGCTGCTTCCTCTGCTTGTGCGCTCTCACTCGCGCGCGCTCTCTCTCTCTGATGAATAAATAAATAAATAGAATCTTTTAAAAAAAGAAAGTTCTCCCTCCTTGCTTGAGTAGACATTCCCCGAATGGGATCAGCCCAAGAAGACTAACATGTGGAAACACTTGCGCTAGCAAGTCCAAGTACTGGAATAAAAACGTGATGTCTGAAATGCAAAATGGCAGCAGAAGGAAAAGCATAGTTTCACCAAACCGTTTCCCCCCATTCACTTGGGCATGCTCTCTGAAATCCCAGAGGAGCACTGGGGGACGGTAAGAACCATGCACTGAGCTGGGAGGTCTGAGTTCTAATATGATTCTGCTTTGGGGCAAGTCAATTTTTTGCTCATTCATTCAGTCTCTATTAAGAGCTTACCAATTTGCTAGATCCAAACAGAGTCAGTGTTTTCCTGACCACTAGCCTGAAATGCCCTTCTTACCCCCATAGTCACTTCACTCAGCAAATATCCACCCTTTCCAGGAAAGCTCTACCCTCAAGACATCCTAACTGATCTATTCCTCTGTTATCATCCACGTTCCGGGCACTATATGTTTACATTTGATTCTGTGATTATTGGATCAGGGTGAGTCTCCCCGCCAAAATGACTACAAACTTTAAAGGGTAGGGACCCAGCCTTTTTCTCCCCCTTGTATAGTACCAGCCAGTGCCTGATACTCCTCAGAACATACAGATTGAATACATGTTACAAAGAAAAAGTTTAACCCCTATGCGGAGGGGGAGGGGAAGAAGAAGAAGAAAAAAAGAAAAAGTATGAATGCTTTGAATTTTTTTTTAAGATTGTATTTATTTATTTGACAGAGAGAGAGAGATCACAAGCAGGCAGAGAGGCAGGCAGAGAGAGAGGAAAGGAAGCAGGCTCCCCGCCCAGCAGAGAGCCCGACGCGGGGCTCGATCCCAGGATCCCGGGACCACGACCCGAGCCAAAGGCAGAGGCTTTAACCCACTGAGCCACCCAGGCGCCCCTGAATTTTTTTTTTTTTAAGATTTTATTTATTTATTTGAGAGAGAGAGAGTGCGCCCAGAGAGAGTGAGAGAGCACATGCTGGGCCAGAGGTAGAGGGAGAAGCAGATTCCCACCAAGCGGGGAGCCTGATGCGGGTCTCGATTCCAGGACTCTGGGATCGTGACCTGGGTCAGAGGCAGACATTTAACTGCTGAGCCATCCTGGCACCCCGATCTGAGTGTTTAATAAGGGAATCTGATCTGATCTGGTATGTCCCTCAGGAAATGTCCAGAAGGATAAATCCTTAGGAGGTAGAAGAGCGTGTTGTGGCCAGAGGGAGATGCCCTAAGCAAAGGCTCTGAGGCTCATGGAGTCGCAGGTGCACAGCAGAGAACAGTGGGAGAAGAGGAGGCTGGGGAGGGCCCAGACTCTGCAAGGGCTTGGGGATCACATTCTGGAACTTGGACTTTCTCAAAGGCTATGGGAAACAAAGCAAGGTTTACATTTACATGTTAAGCAGATAACCTTGGCTGCAGAGTGGGGAACTGATTTCAGAGCAGCAGTGGGAGAGCTGGGGAGACCAGTTTGGGGGGGATCACAAGGTCCCACTGTGAGAAGGTGGTGACTTGAACGAGGTGGGAGGTGATGCAGAGTGGGGAAGGAGGCCTTCATTGTACCTGTGAGTGATAACTGAGGTGGACCACAGCTGTGTCTCCCAAATAGTGAGCTACCCCGGCAGGGTTCCACTCCTTGGCAACCACAGAAACTTGGCTTTTAAATCTGCATTAGGTATGGCAGTGCCTTGTCCATTTTCTTGGAGAAGGGAGTCCCCTTGTTAAAAACAAACAAACAAATCTGCATAATTTCCCATCAGTGTATCAGACTTAATTTCTGGGGCAAAAGAAATGTTTCTTTTCTGATTTCATGTTTTACGTGTGTTCATTCTCCTTTCACCCACCTGTGCTGGTAGCAGGTTTGGGTTGATTCTGCCTGGTTATGGGAGGCAGCACGAGACTCCCCCCAGAGGTTATCAGGTTTTGGTTTAAACTAAGGAGGGGGACCAGTGTAACCAGTATCTTAGATGCCGTCAAGGTGAGGCGGAGTCCCTACATTCGGAAGCTCCCAAATTCTGGTTCTACAGCACAGTTGTCTGATACGTATTTATTGAGTACATAATCCAAAGGTCTGGTACAAATTCATATGATACCAAAAAGCCCTAGAGTAAATCTCCTCCTCACCCCGTGCCAGCTACCCTGTTGTCTTCCCTGTTGGTTGCCACCGTGGTCAGCTTTTTTGTGTCTCCTAGAGTCTGTGTCTATGCTAACAGCTAGTACCACATAGACTTTTGATTTTTCATGGACAGCAACATGTTATAAACACTGTCCTGAACATTCCTTTTTTCACTTGGTCTATCTTGGAGTTGGTTCAATAACAGAGTTCGTCAGTTTCTTTCTTTTTCTTTTCCTTCCTTCTTCCTTCCTTCCTTCCTTTCTTTAAAGATTTTATTTATTCATTTGAGAGAGCATGTGTATGTGATTGGGGGAGGGGAGAAAGGCAGAGGGAAAGGCTGAGCAGGGAGCCCGACATGGGACTCAATCCCAGGACTCCTAAAATCATGATCTGAGCTGAAGACAGGTGCTTAACCTACTGAGCCACCCAGGCGCCCCCTCAGTTTCTTTTCTGATGACTACCGAGTTTGGGAACTTTTTTGAAAATACCAACGCTCTAGTCTCCCTTGGATTTTTGATGACACAATTTTAGCGTGGGATCTGCCTGGAATCTGTGTGATCAGAAGGCTCTCTGAATTAGATACACAGCCTCTGATACACAGCCAGTTTGGGGAACCGCTGAACTGTTTGGATTTTAAGGACATCGAGGACCAGAGATCACACACATTATTTTTTTAAAGATTTTATGTATTTATTTGACAGAGATCACAAGTAGGCAGAGAAGCAGAGAGAGAGGAAGGGAAGCAGGCTCCCTGCCAAGCAGAAACCCGCCCCCCCGATGTGGGGCTCGATCCCAGGACCCTGGGATCATGACCTGAGCCGAAGGCAGAGGCTTTAACCTACTGAGCCACCCAGGTGCCCCCACACACATTATTTTGATATGTAATCTGTATTCTTACTATACTGTACTGGGCAACCAGTTTTGATGGATGGTATTCTGAGCACAGGCAACATCTTGTCTCATGGCTAAATGTCTGCTCTCGAATGACAGTCTTTTCTAGCAGGTGCCAGTCCATTTCCTCAACAGTGTCACCCACTCCTGCTACTTCTTGAGCCTTGTCCCCGCAGAGCTACCAAGTTCCTGTCTCCAGCCAGAATCTCCCTCCTGAATTCCAGCCCCTCAATTGAATACACCTAGAAATGGTCCATTGGCCACTCAACTCTACTTGGCTTAAGATCTCATCTCTTTCCTTCCAAGCTTCTGTCCCTCCCCAGGGCCCTTGGCAGGAAAGGGCACCGTATCTTCTTTCTCCTCACTGCTGCCCTGGTCTAAGGGGACTCCCAAGTCCTGGCCCTAA